CTACTGCTACTACTACTACTACTCGTTGCCGTACTAGTACGAGTACTAGTACTAGTACCAGTGTTAGCAGAAGTAGTAGTCGTAGTTGTAGTAGTAGTAGTAGTAGCAGCAGTAGTAGTAGCAGTAGTAGTAGCAACAGTATGAGTAGCAGCTGCTACTGCTTGCTACAACAACAACGACTACTCCTCCTCCTCCTGCTGCTGCTGACTCCAACTCTACATCTGCAATTGCTGCAACTACGAATCCTGCGACATTCCTGCTCCTTCTGCTACAACTACGCGCTCTCCAACTCCTACTGCTGTAAACCTGGTATCGCAACCAGCACGCAGCATCGGCAACAGAAACACTAGCCACAATTGCCATCTGTCACGTAGCAAATGCAACAACGACAACGACACCAACATCAGCAGGTCTCCAAGATGTCAGGGATGCTTGGATGCAGGAAGTTCAGCATGTCGAAGCACCAGACGTGGAACCATCCCGAAGGTGCACCCAGGTACCTGATTCACTTACAACTCATGACGACTCATGCACTTCAATGCCTCGCGAATTCGAAGCACATGCCTGCCAACATTGGGTGTGCTTTTTCTAGCAGATCTCCGACTCTCTAACATTCATGCAGAGCTGGCACCAGCTCCGGCTTGACAGGTAGTCTTCAGGCTCTCTTGTGCTGAATGCTCAGTCGCACCCGCTTCCCAAGGCAGCTGGCCAGTCCTGGTGGTGAACCAGACGAGCGGGACAGAGCATCTTGCAAGACTGGAGGTCGCAATCCTTTGCTCCGTGTCGCTGGTGTGCTGCGAATGCTGCACGCACCATCCTCTGCATTTGGCTCAAGACTGAGTTCTATGCCAGTTTCATCCCTGGAGCTCCATGGACTTCAGGTATCATACATTCTTGGACCCTTGCATGCTTGCAGACTGCACCTTGGCATGATGCGAAAGTTTGTCAATGTTTTGACTGCAGCCGCGCTTGTAAGCTGAGTTGAGATGAGGTAGTCCCGAGATTTGAGAGGACGTTCCCACTGCCTGGCTTCAAGTGTATGGACACTTGTTTCAAACTGTGTTCGGTCTGCTTTGCGGGAGTGTCGACGAGTAGGACGCAACGGTTGCACTGTGACGATGAATGAAGGTTGGCACGGTGAGTCAAGCATTAAGCAAGGTCAGAAGAAATCAGAGTTCAGGGCTGCTGGCTTTCCAGTCACGGCTTGGTGGGGTTTGTCTCTGAGCCTTGGCTTGTTTCCTTCGCGTCTCTTGTTAGATGTCTTGGGACTCTCTTGTACATGCCCAACTGCCCAGGATCCTCGCAGACTCGCGGCCTCCGCATGCTGTCTGATCGCGGGACTACTTGCATCTTGTTGGCAGTCATCCCACAGTCCGACGTCACCAGCTTAAGCTATGACATCCTCTTGTTCAGACAATTTGTTTTGATTGGAACGCGCTGTGCACAGCTGGCTACTGTGTGCTGAATTGGGCGCCGGTCGCTTGCGCATCCAGGCTGTTGCCTTGCAAGGCTGCTCTGATGAAGCTCCTTAGCTGTGATTGCTGCAGCTTGTTCATGTAACCCTGACTTAAACGTCCTCGCAGGAAGCTGTCGAGCAAGCAAGGGAGGATGCCATGCGAGAGGGTGAGGCTTGGGCTTGGGCACAACTGCGTTGCTTCTGTGCCCATCGCCGAATGCTCTCACAGCTGACATGCTAGGCACTAAAGGGAGTTCAGGATGCCGTCAGCTACCGGGCCGCAAGCAGGTCTCAGTACTTCTAAAAAGTCTAAAAAGTGCGGCTGTGAAGTGAAGCCCTCATTCTCGAGAATAGGTGAGTACAGGGAACAGAAGAAGAAGACACTGGTAGCGCGGGACAACGTCCAGGCAAAGAAGGACCCCAGGGCGACTCACATTTGCAATTCTTGCCCGAGCACACATGCTGATGGATGGAACATGCCATCACGGCCCGACGCTAGTGAAGCAGTATTAAGTTAAAGGCTAAGGGTGCGAGTTGCACAGATTGCCGATTTGCTGTCAGGATGGCTTCAGCAAGGCACCATGTAGAGCAAGCTGCAGCCAACTCTGCTTCGAGAAGAGATCTCTGTCCTTGATGGGCTGAAGGTTTTGGCCGACGAGGGCAGGAAGCCGGAAGGAGACGAAGCCGTAGCCCCAAATAGTCGAGTTTTTTGGAGACGTTGTGTTGTCTCTCGAAGCAGCGCCCCCAAGGCAAGCGCTCTAGACGATGCCAACAAGGTTCTCAAGGAGGAGGCGGCTGGGGAGCAAGCCGAGAATGCCGTCGAGCACGGTGAGGCCAGGGCCAGCAACGACAAAAACGTGTTGGAGTGATGTCCTTTCCCTGGCCTGTCTGCCAGGCTCCTCCGAAGAAAGGCAGGGATCAAAAGGGAGAAGCCGCGCCGAGTTTACGACTCGCACGCATCTTCTGGCAAAGCAGGCTCAAGTCTTCTGGTGACGTTTCCGAGGCACCGGGTCGGCCGTAGAATTGGAGAGAGAGCGACCTACTTCCATTGAGCCAGCAGATCCTCCATTTATCTTATCAGCGGAGCTGCTGCATTCCGCTCAGGAAAAGCCGGTCCCGTGCCCGAAGGAAGCTGGAAGAGATCTTCCTGCCGGATACTTACGTTGGCTTCTGCAGGAAGGGAAGACACGCTGGCTTTAAACCTGGGTGCGGCACTGAAGGGCAATCTCCAGATTCCGCCTTCGTTTCAGAGCACTGAGGCCTTCAGACGGACACGAGAGCCGCCCCCCCTGAATTTTTCCTTTCAGAATCAGGCAGGGCATCAGACGGACACGCGATGGCGCAGACGGAAAAGAAGCGCATCGTCGGGCGCGCCAACCAAGCGATGCGCTCGATCTCTGCTCGAGGACAAGCAACGCTTGCTCGCGCACCTCCGTTCCGAGGCGGCGGGCCGTGCTGCTGCGGAGCTTTGCCGCCGCTCTGTGCCGCTGTGTCCGCGCCATTCCGTGCCGCCAAAGGCGTATGTCGAGCTCTTCGCCTCTCCAATCGCGGGCGTCGGAGTGCGGGCGTTTCGGCCCGAGCCTGAGTCAGAAGCTGTCTACGCAGAGAGATGAAGAGGACCCTCCCAAGCTCAATTGCCAGCTTCCCCTGCAGCTCATGGGATTTCAGCCAGAGGTCCGAGTCAGAAGCGATTGCCAGCAGCTGCCACAATCAGTACCGTACCGTCACCTGAGCGAGAGACCATCCTCTTCAACCAGCTTCCATCGCCTTTAACTGAACATCTAAGCTTCGGTTCAGCTTCAGTTCAAGTTTACAATGCTTGCTGAGGCAGATTCCTGAGGGAGTTGACCCCTTCCCGATCTGCAACCCACACATGGCGGCGAAGGACGGCTGACGGCTGAGGGTTGCAGTCAGCGGAAGAAGATATTGACGACTCATGCCGGTGCCGTTGTCCTCGAGCCGCGGGCATGACAGAAAGCACAACACGCAAGCATGTTTTGGGTGTTCAGCAGATGCATGGAGTCCAGCAAACATGAGTCCATGGTTCTCACAATGCGATGCTTCGCGCATATGTGCTTCATGCTTCCCGCGCGAAGCGCTTTTCGCGATCCCTCTCCGGTGCTGAGGAGAAGGGCAGGCCATTGGTGGCTTTCCTCTATATAGAGTATTTAGGTACGCCAAGTGTTGAGGTACACGAAGAGTTCGACTTCCCACCAACCAACTAACTAGGCAGAGAGGCTTGGAACTAGGTTGAACAAGTCCACGCATTAAGGCACAACCCATGCATCCCAAATCCCAGTAAGCTCTTTGACATTATTTACATTGAGCATATGCATCCCAAAGGCAGACTCGACAATGTCGTGCCTCTCTGCTGGCCCAACTCGGGGTGTCTTGGTCGCAGCAGGGGGTCAGTGGATGCCAGGGCGGGTTCACTGCTTTCTGCCAGAGCCGGACACCCCGTCATAGGTCTCTCTCCAATTCAGCGCATGCCTCTCTGAGGAGATAGAGAGATCCGAGCAAGTACTCCCTTGTCTGGCACAAGAACCAGAAGGGCGCAGCGATAAGTTTGTCAAGGCAATGAAGGTGTTTGGGGAGCTCCGGGACTTTCAATACTTGCTGCGGGTCTGGAACCTTTCGCGCCAAAAGAAGGTAAATCTCAAGCTGTCAGCGTACGCCATCCTGATCGAGGCTTTTGGGAAGAGCATTGGGCGGGAGCGGCCGGAGATCAGAAGGTTGGGTCTCGTGGCAGGCAAGAGAGCATGGCAATGGATGCTGCACGATGGGCATAAGCCAGATGCCGTCGCAGTGAGGGCTGCTTTGCACCTCTGTGCCAAAGCCGGGGATGCAGCTTGGGCCGCACAGCTCTGGGAAAGCACGTCGAAGTCAAGCACTGCAACATGGAATCGATATTTGGAGACTGTTTCACGCCATTCTGGCCCTCAAGGCTGGGAAACTGTGGAAAGAGAGCTGTCAAGCTGCGTGAATGTGGCAAGGAGTTCGAGGCTTGTACCAGATTGCATCACGCTGTCTGTTCTGGTGAACGCAGCTGCAGAACAGAACGACATGAATCGTGCCGATGAGATGTGGGAGCGCTTGGCTTCAGCCGTAGAGCCGACGGCTGAAACCTACGCGGCGCGATCGAAGAGCTTGCTTTTGGGAGGAGGGCCTGAGCGTGTTTTGGGCCTTCGAGAGGAGATGCAGCAGAAGTCCATCTCGCCAATCGCTCGCAACATCTTGCACGAGGTGCAAGCGAGGCTGCTCTTGCTGCACCAAAAACCGGAGGATCGCTCCCTTTACGATCACCTCCAGGAGACCATCGAGACGGGTCTAGGAGAGGCCAGGGCGGGCCAGGAGGCCCTGCAGCTCCGGCAGATGCAAAGCTTGGCTTCAAGCATCTGGAATGGCGAGAGACCGGAGTCTCGGCAGCGTATATATGGGCTCTTCCGCATTTGAACAGGGCCCCGACCTTCCTTCACACATCATCATCACGTCCATCCTTCTAATCCCGAGAACCACTGCAGCCGAGGCGTTGGACAAGGTCCGCGTGCTGGCCTGGCATTGGCCCACAGAACCTGCACCCAGCAGCAGAGGCTGAAAAGTCGCCCGCTTGAGCCGAGAAACCTCAGGGTCGTGGGGTTTTGTGGGAGGCAAATCACGTCCAAGACCAGCATGTAGCCGTCATCACTAGTCTCCCAGCGGATGAACAGTTTGATTTGCGAGGCCTGCTCGTTTCTGCGGCTACATTTCCGGAGTTCGGGTCATATCGAGATTGTCTGGACACTGGACATGGGTCAAAGTTGTGGAGGGTCGAATCATTATTGAAATCTGCGTGGGTGCCGAAGCAGACAGAGTGATGCTGACCCAGACCTTGCACAGCGTTCCCTTGAAAACGTAGCTCTGCGCCCGAATCCCACAAGTTCAACTACAGAAAATACGAAACGGCGAATTTTTCCACTTCCCGCCTATCAAGCTCAGCTACTCCGGATCAGGAGAAGTTCTGCACTTGCTCACATGCTGAGCTTCGAGTCTGAGACTCAGTGTCGGCCGAAGAGTCACACAAGGGCTCATGCAGACTCACGCCCTTTCCCCATCCACGCAGAGACACGCACGCACACAATCCCACACACACACACACACAGAGATAGAACAAGGGCCCCATCACAATGAGATGCCGTAAGAGTCAACGAGTCAGCGACCTCCAGCAGTTAACCTACATACAGATGTGCATGCATGCATGCATGCATGTCTGTATGTATATTGTATGTATTGTTTATGGGGAGAGAGAGGGAGGGAGAGAGAGAGAGAGAGAGAGCTGCATGAAAGAGCGAGCCTCGGAATGCCAAAGTGACGAGGCGTTGCCTGATGGAGTCATGGACAAGGCCCATGGCACCGTTTTTGACAAGGCACCAGCGCTGTCAAACAATGCATTTTGTGCCATGAGGTGAAGTCTTTCTTCGCTGCCTTGACGATGGATGATGGCTGGACGCCTATGCGCGACGAAGACGGAGAGGTGTCCTGCCAGCGATAAGGCTTTTGGTCCAATGGCAAGAGGACACCGAAGTCATCGCAATATACCGGATCAATGGCCCTGCTGCACAAACACGGAGTAAGCGCTTGCAAGCAGTCTCAGTTTGCACCAGTCTTTTGTTCGTTCCCGATAGTTTGTCCAGCCTCTGCCCGAGACAGGCCCCAGCCGAACGTAGCCTAGCCGATGTCAATTGCAATTCAACTCGCTAGAGGGTCGTCAGTTCGGAGGGGGGGATACATGCAGACGTTTGCACAGATCATCTACGGCGTGCTGACATCGGGCATGAACAACTTGAACCTGTCCTGGTGACCGCAAATCGCATCTCATTGGCGGCGTTGCTGTGGAAGCGACTATAAAGAGTGGCAGGTACCTGAACCACTCGGCGGATCCCAATGTGGCCTTCAAAGATGCCTGGCACCCTTCGAACGAGCTAAAAGCGGCACACAAAACAAGTCCGATCAAGCCCAAGGCCGAAGAGGACGGCGGATACAACTCCTTCGTTACGAGGTGCTGAGCATTGCTGGGCGCAGGGCTTCTCTCGTTGAAAGAACCCTGCACTTGGGGGTGGAAGGTCGTTTCTTCTTCGACTAACACAGGCCTGAAAATCCAAGGCTCTTGGTTCTGTAGAGACCGCCTTCTCCACCCTTTGCAGCAGCGCCAATCCCTCCAAAACTGTCCAGAGCGGGGCAGCGGGGCCCCAATTCTCCATGGCTCCGCCTTGATGCAATCAGTGGGACAGTTTGTAGGCCACAAGGATCTCGGCCGTTATTCAAACATGAGCCAGGAGCCATCATCCAACAAGATTTCTTGCTTATCCTGTTGCGTGCCAGGCGTCGAATTGAAGCGGGAGAGGAGCCTCTCTTGGAGTACGGCCTGACGAAGTGCCAGCTGTGGAAAACAGACAAGAATGATTAATTGCACAGTGAGCAGACGACCACAAAGTCAATTGGCAAGAACTGAGGATGTAAACGTTTGGATATACCTGAGCGTGCTTCGATTGGTCGTTACTTACATCATTCGCCTCCCTGCCCGTGACAGAGGAGCTGACGACGGACTACCGGGAGCTTGGAAAGGACCCTTGCAACAGCACGCTCGACACTGCAGTCACTTCGTGGGTGCAATGTTCGAGCTATTGCCTGAGTTCTCGTTTCAAGGGCACACTGGGTCAGGACTCTCACCGAACGGTTGTTCGCGCCAAGCATGTGAAGCAAATGTCAATGTCCGATAAGTGGAAAATAACCATATCTGTTCCAGACATCGTTGTCATGCTGCCAGAGTGTCGTGTAGATGCCTATAGCAGCTATATGCAGCTATAACACTGTTCGAAGACCGGCCGAAGGAGTTCTATGCATTGGTGTCTGGCACCTGACAGGAGAGACTGTTGCGAGTGAAAAAACTTACTCGCGAGGGATCTCTTCGTGCCTCATACATGTATGAAGAGTTTGCGAAGCTGTTGTTGATCAGCCGGATGCATCGAAATCTAAATGAGTGCCAGCAGCAGCTGACAAGGACACAGCACGTTCACGGGCATCGCTTGCAGTCAGTCAAGTCGTCAGCAAGCATGTCCTGATACATCGAACTCGACTGCTGGCGCGTGGCCGATGTCCGTGGCAGACTTGCAACGGCCGGAGCGCAAGGGCGGCCAGGAGCACGGAGAGTAGAGCCTTCATCCAGACCACGAGGCTGGTTCACCGGGCGACACCTCGGGTCGAGGATGTTCGGGCACCCGACCGGACGGCCACAACCTCGGAATCATCGGGAGCCGCCATGGAAGCCACACGAGCCCGAAAATTTGCCAAGGATTTCATCCGCCGAGAGCATGGGCACTTGCCTCTCCGAGAGGTCGTGGACGCGCCGGGCTGCTCAGAGTCACCCGTTTCTAAACTCTCTACACTCAAGCTCGGCCTCATTCCCCCAAAATCGCACTGCACCAAGGGTGGCAAGGCACTGATCTGCTCGGGTAGTATTGAAGAGTGCAATTCAGCAAGGCTGGACGCTCTGGAGTTTTCTGCGACGTCCTTTCTCCGGCAGTTCAAGGAGGTGAGTGTGGCACAGGAGAGAATCATGCATCGGCGTTGTGTCGGCTGGTCAAAAGTGTACTTTGCATCTTTGCATACGAAGGGTCAGGGGATTATGAGTTGTTCGGCCGAGCTGACACGAGAGGAGCCTCAACAGCCGGAGTTCAACGACGAGGAGGTTTGTCTGGTGTTGCTGTTGTGCTGACGTGATACGATGCTAAGCCGGCTTTGTCAGGCCTGCGTCCTGTCTGAGAAGGGGCGCTTGGAACGCTATGCAGCGAAGCCTGTCGCTCCAGTCGGGGTCTCTCGTTCCAGCGGTTTGAGGATGTTGCGAGGTTTGTCTTGCGCCACAAGCAAGACAACTGGAAGCACCTCTTTCGCCACTGCACCTTCCGCTCCCCTATCTCCTCCAACTTCTCAGTCCTCCGCCTCGTCGTTGCCGTCTCCTTATTGGCACAGCGCAGTCGTCCTGTACCCGTCCTCTCGACACAGTAGTGAAGTCAAAAATCCAGCACCACCGGTTTGGCGGCAAACACATGCAAACACTCCACCCCTGGCACCATCATCACTGCCATCAAATTATCCATCATTGCTACTGTATCATAGTCTGTCATAGTCTGTCTATCATATGCCTCATCCTTTGCTTCGCCCGACTTCGCCTGCTCATCTGCGGCCGCAGAGGAAAGTCACGCTCTTGAGGAACTCCTCAAGAAGCTGCCCAAGACCCGGCACTCCCATCCCGTACCGCGGCTGTCCTTCCTGCACAGGCTGTAGGCCGGCTGCGCGGCTCTGCTGTTTGCCTCCGAGCCTGCCTCGGCATTTGGGCCCGGTCATCCGGTGCCTCGGATGCTCCCGGAGCCTGTCGAACAGCGAAGATCTTCAGGGAGAGGATCTCGTGGTCGCGACACCAGCAGTCCCCTCTCGCCCCCATGAGATGTCGCAAGCGACATCTCGGACGTTGACCACGCACCAAGAATCGGAGAGCGAACCTGAGGTCAAGAGACCATCTCCACGCACTCAGCCCTCATATCCACGTTCAACGAGTTTTGTGCCATAGAAACGTACTACGAAGAACACTGCGACGCAGATTCTCTTGAGGAGTCTGGCAACCACGAGGGTGAGTTCCCGCTGTCAGAGAGCTTCCAATCCAAGCCGTACTTGCGTGTGGCATGCTTCGCCGGCCACTTCCACCCAAGCTTCCACCGGCACCTCCGGACAGCAACTCGGGAACCATCGTTGTGTCGTAAGGAGAGTGAAGCAGCACAAGCTGGTCAGTCATAACTCTGAGTGGAAGTGTTATCAGAACTTCCCAGCTCCCGCCACGAGAAGCACAGCAAGTATAGTGGCTAGTGGCTACATGCAGAAGCTCTACATGAAATGAACGATGTATTGGCTGCTGCGAAGAACTTCGCAAAGCGCCCTTCTAAGCCCGAGGCGTTGCGTGCAGCTTGACAGCCATACCAGCGGGCGACAAGAATCAGGAGAGTTTTCTTGAGTTCTCGAAATTCAAGTCGGCTGGGGCCGAACAGATTCTGACGCTTCTGCTGGCCTTGAAAGATAACCAGATCTTGCCTCCTGGGGGACCGTGCGCTCTTGGCAAGACGGGGGGGAAGTGGACCCGGCGGATTTCACGTGCAGTCGGGGATCTCACAGAATAGCTTGTCAAAAGTACTGCGCATACTGACATGCTTCTCGGTCCCCTGGATGAACGGATTAACGCTACACTGATCTTGCCACGGGGGTGGCTTGAGCCAATGTGCAGAACTATGGGGCCCAAGTCCTGATGTCGAGTGTGTTCTCATCTCAGCATGACAGCTTGGCATGCTGTGCTCAGGAAAAATCAGATGATACATGCGTTCACCAATTGATTCTTTTCCGCATCTAGCTTGGGAAAACAGTGTTTGAGGATGTGCGATGTTCCCCACATTCCGTATTTCGAGCTTTTAGGCATCGCCTTCTGGAGGGAACTCGTGCCCTGGCCCTACCGCAGAAGACACTGGGCAAATCGGCCTCGATACTTGCTGCGGGCTTGATATCAGAATGAGTTCGTACCTCAGGTTTTTTGCCCACGCCTACCCTCCGACATCCCGAAGGGTGAGACCCAAGCGGAGGTGGCCAGAAGATTTTCTGCGTCGAGAAGATGGCTCGGTGGAATCAGGAGTGGGCTTCGAACCCGGCATCCGACTGGAAGGAGGCGGAGAGCCTGCCAAGAAGCGCGTGAAAGCACAGCATTGCGCAGCTAGAAGTGGGCCAGGTTGCTGCTGACGAGAAGACCAAGGGCGGCAATGCTTTCAAGGAGAAGGCCTTGTTGGCTCTGAGCATTGGACATGAAAAAAGCGCCCGTCAAGTGCCCCGACAGAACTTCAGAAGGGCCATAGACCACTACACGCGGGCGATTCGGGCCGTGGCCTCTCGCAGACTTAGGGCCCTTGGCCCAGCATGGCCACAGCCGAGGCCTCGCCCAAAGAGGCGGAGCTACACACGCAGGGCGCACAGATTCAGATTTGAAAGCGCATTCTGTGAGTCGCATCCTTTTGGAGTGTCCCGCAACATCTGGCAGGTTGCACTCAAACCGTTCAGCGGCTCGCATGCAGGCACTTGAACTGAATAGGCCCCGCTGCGCTGTTGCAACATGACAAGCACCTCCATGCTCTCGAAGGTTGCTGAAGCAGAGGCGGCGCTCGCCGATGCAAGGTACGCATTTTCAAGATGTGCATGTAGACACGGTGAAAGACCCGATCAGACAAGCGCAGGCTTTGTGTGCAGCTGGCCCCATCTTGGCCCAAGGGTCGCTTTCGTGAGGGGCAAGGGTCTTATCAGGGACATGCAATGAGCCTTGCTGAAGTGCTCCACAAGGGAAGAGGGCGCATGCAGGACTGCACTGAGACAGCTCGGACGCTTCGATGAGGCTCCTGCTGTATGCGTTTGCAAGTAGGTCGCGGAAGTGGGCCAGTGTGAGCCACTGTCAGTTGCAGGCCATAAGTGCTTTCTTGCATGGACAGCGCCTAGAACCAGACAACAAGGATTGGGAGAAGGAGGTCAGCTGCGAGCAAAGTAAAACTAGACAGTCCGCTGTAGCTCTCTAGCCTGCAACAGGTTGCGAAGACGCAAGAACTGCACGAGGCATCGCCGAATTGCTGACAAGCAGCTTTGAGTAGCACCGCTGCAGTCAGGCAACACCAGCTTCACAAGTGCAGCAGCTGATAATGCACCTGTTGCCAGGTGGGCAATGCCTAGGATTTCTCATGGTTTGTCGGATCGGTTCTGCAAGCGCAGCGAACTGCGGGAGACATCCTTGCAACCTGGCTCCGTGCTGCCGACGCCGGCGGTGTCCTGCAACTGCAGGTGCGGTTCTGGGGTCCCGGCCCAGGGCCTAGAGGCCTGGATCTCGCAGCTTTCGCAGGTGAATGGTCATCTCCACGATCTCGGAGTTTGCAAGTGGCGTCGCCTGCGTGAGGGAGCTCAGCCTGGCAAGGCCGAAGTTCGAGCCTTGCGCATAGCGGCGCGCAAGAAAGAGCCCGCTCTTCGGCGCAGGCGCAGATCCGCTACGCATTCTTGGAGAAGAAGGGGTGCCATGGGCCGGGCACATCATGACATTTGCTCACTTCTCACACCCATCCAAGGTACCTTGCCAACCTGGCCGCCAATCTGCAAAGCCCCATAGAAGCTATTGCAGTGCTGGACTTGGAAGGCTCATTGACGTGAATGTCCCAAGCAAGGCAAGCGAGGCAAGTGGTTTATGCCAGGTAACGCCATCAAGATACCTGATGTCAGCAGTTTCTTTTGGAAACCTGCCGCAGTCTCAGGGGGGATCATCGGCTGGAAAATTGTCTGCAAAGTGCGGTATCGACTTAGAGCTTGCAGAGTTGCGCCGGTGGCCTTCAGGACTTTGCTTCGGTGCACATAGATATCAAGGACGCCAAAGGCTCCATGAAAGCGATTCTGCAAGCCTCTTAGTTGGAAAGCTTCATTCAGCTTTTAGCAAATTTGATCCTACAACGCTGACTCCTGTGGCGACCTCACCTAACAGGGCAACCGTGCCAATCGAAGATGGCCTCAAGCGCTTCATCCAAAAGCCAAAGGAGAGGGTTGTGCTTTTGTTGAGCTGTCTTGCTTGATACACTGAAGGCACCACCCCGTGTCCTTTGCCAGGATCCCGATCCGCCGAAAGCCTCCATCGAGAGCGGTGAACTGATTCCCTGATGCGAGTGGTCTGAAGATCACCTTCAGGCTATAGGCCCATAGGCCAGGGGTGTTCATTCTGAGGCGTCCTGACGCTCCAGAGCCGAAGTGGCTTT